ATCAGACTTCCAAGAAAAGTGAAGTTGTCAACACGTTCGACTATTTCACTCCCTATTCTTAGTTTAGTGGTTGACACAATCTTTCTTTTTATATATTACTAACCATTTAAGTAAATGTTTCTGTCAGCATCTTCATCATCATCTGCGTATTCTAAGTCCATAAGTGGACCTCCTGGAAGGAGATCAATGCCTGAGAGTTCAGTAGACGAGAACGTTATTTCCATCAGTAGGTCTATGACGAAGTTAAACAAAAATGGAGAAAGTGGACAACCTTGACGGACACAACTTGAGGTTGCAAAAGCAAATGACAGTTCGCTATAAGCTCTAACTTGATTGGTAGTGTTTCAGTAAAGAGCCACCACAAGGTTTATGTACTTCTGAGGTACGCCTTTCAATGACAGACACTGCCACAGAACTTCTCAGTCTACAGAGTCAAATGCTGCTTTTAAGTCAAGAAAAACTATCATTGTCGGACGCCGGTAAGCATGCCTATATTCTAAAATCTAACGAATGGTGAATATGCGGTTGATGCAGCCACGATCAGGTCTGAAGCTAGTCTGATTTTCTCGTGTTTGAAGACCACGAGTCTTGGTTAGGCGTCCGATAATCATTGAGGCTAGTATTAGTTAAAATAATCCCTTTATGGTTATCACAGGATGATATTGACCCGTTCTTTTATATTGGGACATTCAGTGATTGCGACCAGTCACATAGGACTACGTCCAACTCCCAGATTTTAGCTAAAATATTAATCAACCTAATCGCTAAAATTGGACCACCATACTTAAAGACCTCTGGAGCCAATCTATCTGGACCAGCTGTTTTTCCTCGTTTCAGATTAGCCCTAGCTTTCTGAACTTTAGCTAGGATCTGGGGACCTACTTCAATGTTCCATCCATGGTGTCTGGGAATGGTGGGTAGTTGTAGAAAAGCCGAAGGTCAGCTGAACTGCCTCTTAAAGTGTTCCGCCCATCGTTTTAAACGTCTGGCCTGAGAGCAGATAGAAGTGTCGTCATTTTCCGAGATTGTCTCATTTACAATTGACTTCTTAATTCCAGTTTCTTTTATTAGTCTGAAAAGCTGTCTAGTGTTATCTACGGCCGCTGCCTTTTCCATCTCTTTTGCTTTTGTTGCCTACCACTGCTCACGCTCGTTCCTTGGACTTTTGGCTAACCTAGATCTGATTTGTTTTCGCTCTTTATCGGGTTCAGAGCCTGATGGGGTGAGTTTACGAGAATCTTTCAGTGCAATAGCCTTAGTAGAAAATCACTGATTTTTCGTAACCTTTTGGTTCAAATCACTAATAGATGTCGCTGCTATTTTCACAGTAGTTCGTATATATTTCCAAACAATATCTGGATCAGCCTCGTTTACGAAATCGCCCAAGTGTGACCTCGGTCGTTCATGAAATTCTCCTTTAGCTTTCTCATCGCTGAGTCCAACTTTAGTGGGTCTTTTAATGTGACTTTTCTGAGTCCAGTAAGGCTCAAGCGATTACGTGCTAGTATTAGAGCACAATCGGAGTCTAACCATGTATTCCAGAACGAGCGGAAGCATTCTATTGAACCTCTCCAATCATGACTGATGAAAATATGGTCAACTTGAATCCATCATTAGTTTAGAGCAAAGGTCTCCATGTTAGATGGTGCTTCTCCCTATGTTTGAAATTAGTGCTTGTTAAAAACAAACTATTGTCTGAGCACAGTCGCAGCAGACGGTTACAATTATCTACACTATAGTGTACATAAGAAGATCGTCAATATCATACAGAATTCATACGATGGACTATAGTGCAAGGTCGTGCATGGAGGACAGCTGACTGACACATGCTAAGTGAAGACTGGAGTCAGACAATGTTGCCTACTCTCCTCCATTTTCTTTTTTTTTCTGGTGGTTCACTGGATTAGGAAGACCTCAACATCTGAGGGGAAGCACGGAATACAGTGGACAAGTTGGATGCAACTAGACGATTTGGACATTGCAGATGATCTAGCACTTCTATCCCATACATAAGAACAAATGAAGATGAAAGTAACTGGTGTAGCATCAGCCTCTACATTAGTAGGCGGCGGAATACAAAGGGTAACAAGCAAGATCCTCAAATACAAAACGGAGAACACCGATCCAACCACACTTGAGGAAAAAGCTCTGGAAAAAGTGGAATCTTTCATGTACCTAACCTCAGCAACAACATCGATGAACGTGGAGGATCCGGTGCAGACGTAAAGGCGAGGATTGGCAAAGCAAGGGCCGCATCCCTACAGTTGGAGAACATATGGAACTCAAAACAACTGTCTCTCAACCAATATCAAAGTGAGAATCTTCAATAGTCAGTCAGTCAGTAACAACATAGAACTTCGTACGTACGTACATCAGTTCGAGTTGCCACACCACATTAGCACAGAGATGCAGTTGTCGATTCAAATCCCATAGTGGTAGAGGTAATAAGAGTATAAGCAGTAATCGGGAAGATTAGGGTTTGGAGATGTTATTCAATGAGTATAATCCAGTGAAATAAATTTGGAAAGAGGAAAAAAGGGACATGAAGAATTCAGAAGATTAGAATTTGGGAGAACACAGAGAGTGGATGCACCTGCGCCATTGCAAACAATTTTGATCCATGTCATTCAGGGTCTCTAACCATCGGTTGCTATCATCTCGCGGTCCCCAACCAGGTAGTCTACACCTACCAACATGACTCAGCTCACTTGTCAGCGACTTCATGGACTTGTGCCATGTTTTGGTTTGGCCGCCCCTAGCTTTCTTCCAACCTACTCCTATACCACTGAACATAGCACGTCGAGGCAGTCGGTCGTTGGGCATACGTATATGAACGTCAAGACAGTTCTACTTTATGGATCTGGAACTTGGAGAACCACCACAACCACCATCAAGAAGGTACAAGTATTTATAAATAGTTGTCTACGCAAGATACTGAATATCCGTTGGCCAGATACCATCAGCAGCATCCTACAGTGGGAGAGAACAAACCAGCCTCCAGCTGAAGAGGAAATCAGGAAAAGACGTTGTAAGGGGATAGGACATACATTGTGGAAACTAAACTGCATCATAAGGCGAAGTCTAACTTGGAACCCTGAAGGGAAACAGAAACGAGGAAGGCCAAAGAACACATTCCGTCGAGAATCGGGAGCAGATATGAAAGAGATTAATAGAAACTGGAAACGATTGTCCCGGACAAAGTCCGGTGGAGAATGCTGGTGGGTGGCCTATGTTCGTCTATGAGGGGTAACAGGTGTATGTAAGTATACAAACTGCCGATGTTGATACGGTCTTGGGGAACACCGAAGAGAAAAACCTGTCGGAAGTGGTTTAATTTTTAGAAAATATACATGTAACTCCTTATTGGTGGGGCGATGGCTTAGTGATTTAGGCAGTTAAACTTCAGCCACTAAGTCCTAGGTTCAAGCTCCCCAGGCTGTCTCGGTTAGGGCAACCGGGTAGTGTTTTTAGCTCTCACAATTGAAATGTGGCTCATATCCAAATACTTGAGAACGAGTTAATTTTTCATTTTGGCAACTGATTACACAGGTTTGTAGACGAAAACAGTATGCGCTGGCGAAATTGCCCATCAAAGCGAATTCCTACAACTCGCATCAAATCGATAAGAAACAAAGTTAGAAATACCAAAAGGAAAGCAGTGGAAATAATATCAATCAGTGTAAAACTTGACATAATAAATTTAGTTCAAAAGCATTAAACAGGATCGTGGAATGAGAATTATGATTAAACTGCAGAATTACATGAAGGAAAATGGACGAAACTGATCTATGTCATTTAAGTCGCCAACTATAGAGTGCAATAAAGTATATTATGTGAATTTTAACAGGAGGCATACATATGAACACAAAACCTTGCAAGAAAGTGTATGTCTAAGTTTTAACGTTTAGCATGAGGAACCCAATAAATTCAGAAAAAAATACCAAAATGAACAAAAGAAATAGGGATTGGGAGGCTAGACTAAATGGCATGTAAAAGGTTTATGACTTAGAAAAAATGAAACGGGGAACTAAAATTAGACAAATTTGAATCTAAAGCTGGTTCTGAGCCATATGATTAACTCTCTACCACTGATTAAGATTACTTAGTGGACATTAATGAGGATGTTATTTGATTGAGATCGTGAGTCGATTGATGTTAGACCACCATTGAAAACCTGAAAGCAATGAACGGCTGTTTCGTTCTAGTACGGGACTTCGCAGCAGTGCGCATCCACAATCCTGCACGCGGGCTTCGGACCCGGGACCTTCGACATCGCGCGCAAACAATTAACCTCTAGACCACTGAGCCGGCATAACAAATTACTACGGTCGAACGTATGCATTTTAGGCACAATTTCGAGGTTTGTGTCTTGCAAAGAAAGTTTTGTCATACTCACCATGATTTTTTAAATCTTACTTCACAGACATTTAGTTGAAATAAGAGCAATAATATCAATTTGTTCTACATATATACAATGTCTGTAACTTGAGGCGTTTTGTGCGGTGTGCAGACTATCTTTCAATTAGATAGTAATGTAGTTGGAAGAGTAAATGAAATAATTATATATTCAGAATTAATACAAATCTAGTTAGCCTTCTCTTTTGACCAACTATAACAGAATACCATGCATTTAGCCCTCTTGTTTAACCCTATGAATTTAATAACGATTGTCGTTGAATCAATTCATTTCACTTAGTGCGTTTAAATCTTCACATACACATCGACTTGAATACAAGTACACTAGTGAGTAATCTACCAAACATGCCAACAACTTGTAATGGACACGTTTATTTTACTTCGAAAACTGAAAACCAAGACCAGATTCACATAATAAAGCATGTAGAAATATGCGTTGCAATTCTACATATTGTAAATAATAAAAAAATTCCTTGGCATTGTGTACAAAATTTCATGGGTATTATCAGAACGCGCGTGGATATTCCCATCAAAATGAGGCGGAGAAAAAATCAATAAACTCCTCACAAGTTCAAATTTCTTACCTTAATTGCAAAATTCATTCTCCTCTTTTTTTTCGAGGTCAAGGCAGGTTCTTCATCTTCATCGACATCATCCTCTTCCTCGTCTTCCTCGTCGTCATCATCCTCATCTTCATCATTATCATAGTAAAGATCCTTTTTCGTGTACTTTTGAGTTTTATTCTTTTTTTTAGGTGGAGACGGGCTTGCCGATTCGTCTGAATTTGAACAGTCACTCATCTCAATACATTAACCAGAAACGTAGCGTCTTATGCAAACTTTCCGGGTAAATTGTGTCCAATACAATTTTGAGAATCGGCCAGTCTTCAATCTTCCGTAATAAGGATAGTGGGTTGGTGAACCTGTGGTAATTCTGACAGATTGTGTTCTAGTGAAAGTCCAGCTTCTCCTTGGAAATATTCACCAATGGGTATGATACCACTTGTTCCGGTAAGGGGTTCCAGTCTTTGACTACTCAATGAGAAAAACGGAACCCAACTTTAAGTTTATTAGATCGCGATCTTTGAACCTTCTTGCTATGACTTCGGATATTATTAGTGCTGGAGGGAGTAAAAAGATAGAAGCTCTTCACAGACTTAAGGGTATGCTACACAAATGCTCGCAGCCTACTAAATAAAATGGCGGAGCTCAAGTCAATGATGGATAAAGAAAAAGCGGATAGTATTGCTGTCTCGGAGACTTGGTTAACATCAGAAGTATTAGATACTGAAATTCAGTTGACTGGTATTTTAACCAATAGGACTGATAGATTAAACCGTGAGGGAGGTGGGGTTGTCCTGTACACGAAAAGTACCCTAACCATAAGATTAGTTGAGACAGTGGCACATGTTTCAGGGACATGTGAACTGGTTCGATGTAAGCTGAAATGTCGACGGCAAGATATTGAATAAGTTATAGTATATCGCAGTTCAGAATGTGTAGCAGATGATTTTCTCCTAAGTAAATCTAAGTCCTGGTGTAACAAGGGTAAAAGCCCTGTAGTAGGTGACTTCAATGCACCGTATATAAACTGGGTTAACTTAGAAGTAGGGTCATCGATAACGTCGTTCGAATGCAAACCGTTAGAAACATCGATTGGACTAGCATTATTCCAATACATTAGAGATTCCACAAGATACGACGTAAGAAACTCTTCTTCCCTTTTTTGCCGTAGTCTTCACACACGGGGATGACGTTGGTCAAATGGCTTTTCTCCCACCACTAGGGAGAAGTGACCATGCAGTCATCTGATTTAAATTCATGGCTGCGATTGCCTGTCAAACAGTTACGCCGGCCCGTCCTAACATATGGAAGGCAGATATGCAGGCAATTAACTCCGCAGCATCGGTTGAGAACTGGGAAATTGACTCTTTTCAGGCAGTTATACAATCGGGTAACTCAACCATACATACCTTGTACAGTTCCAAAGAAGAAGAAGCACGGCCAACCCTGGATGGGCCGTGATATTCGACGTTTACCAAACCAAGATAAGAAATGTTGGGATGTTGCCATCCGCCTTGGCACAGCAGGTACAATGGAACGCTACAGATCGATAAGAAACAAGTGTATAACAAAAATTCGGGAAGCTTAAGGAAAATATGAAATGCAGCTGGCACAATCTGCATTCAAGCAGCCCAAGAGAATATTCTCGTACACAAACTACAGAACAAGGATGTATCATTGAATTCCCAAGCTAATTAAAGAAGGAAGTGTATCTAAAATTATAGAGGAAGATCAGGAAAAATCAGAGGCTATGGCTGACTACTTTGGGGCAGTTTTCACTCAGGAACCTCCTCTAGAGAAAGAACCAGACCCAATTACAGAGTCAACAAACCACCTGCTCACCGTGGACTTCGACCAAAACGATGTGCTTAAGGCTCTTAGCACCCTAAACGTGGAGAAGTCAACAGGACCAGATGAACTACACCCCAAAATCTTAAGATATATTGCACAATATATCGCAGCCCCACTGACTGTGATATTCAACATGGCACTTGACCAAGGTGTGTTACCTATGGACTGGAAGGACGCGATCGTCACTCCCATACATAAAACAGGATCAAGATAACTTCCATCGAGCTTCAGACTTGTAAGCCTCACCAGTGTTGTGGTTAAAGTAATGGAAGGAATAGTCAAACGGACCATAATGGCATTTATGGAAACCAATAAATTGCTAAATATAGAACAACATGGTTTTAGAAAGGGTCTATATTGTACAACGAACCTCCTTATGGCAAGGGAGTCCTGGATAAAGGCTCTAGAGAACGGAAACTCAGTGAGTGGTGTCTACATAGACTTCAGTAAGGCTTTTGACAAAGTGCCAACTAATAGACTGCTATTGAAGTTGGAAAACCTTGGTATTGTTGGAACTCTATTAAAATGGATTAAGGATTTCCTATTAGGTCGTAGTCAGAAAGTAAGAATAAATTGCAAGTGCTCCATCTGGAGACCAGTACTTAACGGGGTACCTCAAGGTTTCGTTCTAGGCCCTTTACTTTTTATAGTGTGTGTTAATGATCCTTCAAGTATAGTACAATCTCCAATGTGATTATACGCTGAAGATGTAAAAATCTGGGGAGTAATAACTGAAGACAAATACTCATGTGCTCTTCAGGTAGACTCAAATAAAATGATGAACTGGTCTAAAGAGTGGTTGATGCCTATCAACGTGGAAAAGTGTGTCTACGTGCACTTTTGGGGATTCAAAGGTAATAGGTACAACATAGGGGATGTTCCATTAACCATGGTCCGGTCTCATAAGGATCTAGGAATGACAGTAAGTCATGATCTTAAGACGACGACCCATTATCAGGAGGTCGCAGCTAAGGGATTTCGAACCCTCTGGGCTTTAAAACAGACATTCACTAAGTTAGACACTAAAATGTTCACCACAAAATACACATCTTTAGTGAGGACTAAGCTTGAGAACTGCGTTCAGGCTGCAAGCGTTTGTTTAAAAAGTGACTCGGACATCTTAGAAAAAGTACAGGGAGCAGCTACACGTGCAATTCCAGAATTCCGGAGTTTATCACACAAAGAGCGGCTTGAAAAGCTGAACCTCTTTACTCCGTCCTATCGCAGACTAAGGGCAGATCTAATTTTGATGTACAGAATACTGAGGAGTGATTTCGGACCTAAATTATTCTCTCTTTTCCTACCCGCTAGATCGGGATATCTGAGAGGACATAGCAAGCGAGTAGAAAAGCCAAAAACAAACAAAATACCCGTGGCACACAGGTTTTCACACCGAGTCATCAATACTTGGAACCCGCTGCCCGAAGCAGTGGTGTCCGCATCTTCAATTGGCTCATTCAAAAGAAGACTGGACACTCACAGAAGCATACTAGAAAAGGAATAACATAGGCCGTTGGCGTTCTGTCCTTGCTACACAGGTCTGAATCTGAATCTGAAATCATAATTAAAGATACGAAATGCCAATATAAGGTCACATGGTGTCCTACGATACGACAAAGAGAAAAGGTTGAGGCGTTTTAAACACTCATCGTAAGGGAGTTTAGAAAGACCCTTCACTAATTTCGTTCCCACACGTTGGACACGCTCAAGTGAGCCAACATCCTTTGCCAGACATGGGCTAGTTGCTTGTATACAGTACTCTAAATGCGGTTTTACATAAGTGGGATATAAAATTCGAAACATTTCCTCGTAAATAGATTTGAACGCTCAGCGATGTGACCATAACGTATGAAAACCTTTGACAGTGGCTGCGTTGCAATGCGTAGTTGTTTTTTGGTCATAACTTATTATTACTCCTAAGTCTTTATGGAAGTCTCATGGAAGAGGTTTACTATCAGTGGAGTGCTGCTGCAGTTTTAGTTTATCATCCTAGCTGCAAAGTTTTTTCCACAGTTTTGCACCGTCAATGAAGAGCGATAAGTTGGAATATACTAGCCGATGAATGAAAAAATAATTCTTGACACTGGACCGTGGTGGACCTACTTGAACACTCTGGAGCACAGGGAAAAACTAATTATAATATGACGTTGGATTAGTCTGTCGATGGCGAATTGATACTTAACAGTTTGAACTAATTGGTGAGGCTTATTTGGTTGGCCTTACCAAGAGCTCAGAGGTGTAGCTGTAAACAAATTCCCAAAATCAATAGCTCTGTAGGTCTTCGACAATTGTTGCTGACCACATTAGTTTTAATGGAAATACCATGCTATATCATACACACATTACTCTCCTTATAAAGAATGGTTGTCCATCTGTCCATTGCATCCAGCAAATTTATAAAACGAATATGTCCCTTTTAGAAACTGTGTTATTGTTAGTGTAAAAGTTTATATGTAATAAGTGGTCAAGTTAATTATAGTGTATCAAGAACTCCATCATTTTCGAGGGTACTGTAAGGAATGATACTATTCGGTAACTTGAAGATCGACTGCGTTGGCCTCCTTTGAAAACTGGTGTGATATGTGCTAGCCTTAGATTTTCTGGGGACACACTATGACCTGGTGAGTGTGAGAGCGTTGCAATAGGATATAGATTAATCCCGCTTGATAAGATTTTTAGTGTTTACTTGATTTACTACCAGGCCGGAGCTTAGGAATAGAGTAGCTCTTTCTCTTATTTCGTTCTTTTTGTCACTGCAAAGTAACCACTTATCGGGTATTGGCCTGTGATCTGAGAAGATACACGTATTTCAGATATGTCCAGCAGAAGTGTAGAATTAGCACTACTTAGTTCAAGTAACTCATCCAGTTTGCTTGGTAAACTCGTAGTTTCATGTGTAAGCATTTGTTACTTTAGATGTGAGACTCAAGCCGGTTCTCATCCTTTTTGTTTGAATAAACCTCATGTAAATTGTGAGGTGACTTACCTAAACAAGATTTTCCAAGCAGAGGACATTTGTTTTTTCCAAGTCCTTTTATGTTCTTGATATTTCATTAGAAAGCTATTCAGTTCAAATTCACTTATGTGCTTAATTCTTGAACCATGTGGTCAGTTCGTATGCATATGGAATTCATTTGGTCACCAGTGTTCGTTGCGTCAAGATATTCATAAACTTCAAGAGCTGTCTTATGAACTTCCGCATTTTAATACCGTAAACTGCATTATCAGGGTTCGTATTTCCTAGGAGACTGCAAAATAATGTTCCTTCTGCTAAAGGGGTGATACATATAAGTTGATTTCTTCGCGCTTTGTCTCAATACTAAATTGGACAATTATTCTTATTTGGCTTTTTGTAAAATTAGTATATAAAATTGTTTCCGATACTT